AGTGCGATGGTGCTGCACTGGAACACGGGTGGCTCAAGGGGAGCAGCAAGGAGAAGGGCTGGTGAAGGCAGGGTTGGGGGGAGCAAAGATCTCTCAGGAGACAGCCAACATCACCTTGCCTTTCTGGAAATACACTCCCCCAGCTCAGGTGCTACAGCCAGCTGTGTCATCACTCTGTCCAGATAAAGAAACTAAATTTGTCCAGGCTGACGCAAGACGATGGGAAAGCAAGAGCTGCAGCACCCCTGGGCAGAGAAAGATAAGGCCCTCCAGGACTATAAAGCGGTGCAATTGCCAAAGCCAGTCCTTGTACATCTCACAGAGCTTGAGCGCAGAGGCACCATGAAGGTCTTCCTGATTCTCTCCTGCCTGGGAGCGGTTGGTGAGTTCTCCACAGCGTTGGATCCTCCAGCTCTTCCTACACCTCAYTCTTGACTTGTCTTCTCGGCCTGCTTTCCTCTCTCCCCAGCGGCCCATGCCTCTGCTTTCCTTCTATTCCTAACCACGTCAAAGCCTTGCGCACTCAGCCACCTAAAGGCACAGAAGAAGGAGCACATGACAGGGCACACACACACGCGAGTGACCCGAGCAGACTGAGGAAGGATGGATTGCTCCTCGTCCCTTCCTGCATGAATCTTGAGGGCCATCAAATCAAGCTAGGAGTTTTGGCAGGTTGAAAGCAGACAAAAAATGATCCGTCTTCTTGCAGAAAAGTGCTGGACCCTTCTCCATGGAAGCAGACCTGCAGAAAGGTGACACGGCCACAGAAGGAGAAGCAACACATTTGTGGCTTAAAAGTTCACTGAGATTGAATGCCACTTGCTGTCTCCCCTGGCAGCCTCAGGTCCCTGAGTTGCTGGACGTCAGTAGTGGCTCTGCACAAGGCTTCCCTCTCCTCTGCTTTTTACATTTTTTCCATCAGGGATAGACCACACTAGAGACAGGCTCCAAGCCTTCCATGTTCTTGTGGTCTCTACATTTGTGTTTTCTCACATTCCACTCTAACATCAGCCACCAGCTCCACAGAGCCTGAATGCAGTCTGAGAGGGACCTCAGACACACGTAACAGTGGGCCTTCCCTTCTCTCTTACTCATCTCTTGTCCCCCCCTCAACAAAAGGGACAGTGGTGCTGAGCAAGGAATACGCGGGAAGCTCACACGCATTTCATTGTGAAGCCTTTTGGCAGCTCCCACTCTTCTGTTCTTTTCCTGACTCAAGGCCTGGGAACAGTCAAAGACTCGGGCTTCAGAGCGATGCCAGACGAGCTCAGCGGTTGCTCTGAGGACTGGCTTTCGGCACTCCAAACACCCTTTGTCACTACTTCTCTAAAACTCCCCACCTGCTTCTATGCTATAAGAGAACAGATTCAGATCCAGGGCAGTGAAAAATAATTCTCTTTCCCCCAGTTGCTGTCCCGGGGGATGCCGATGACGACAAGATTGTGGGAGGCTACAATTGCCCAGCACATTCAGTGCCCTACCAAGTGTCCCTGAATTCTGGCTATCACTTCTGTGGTGGTTCCCTCATCAACAACCAATGGGTTCTGTCAGCTGCTCACTGCTACAAGTCGTAAGTATGGCTTGTCTTGCGTGTCTCTCTTGATCCTAGTCAAATCTTGCAGCCACAAATCTTGCACCTAGCACAGCAAGACGAGGCCAGGTGGCAGGGCAGGCACAGCTCACATCAAACCAAGGGAAGGATGCTGAACTCAGCCCTGCCATTAACCATGATGCCTGGAGTGATCCTTGCATGTTCACCTTATTGCCACAGATGGAGCATTCCTGGACACACTGCCCACCTGGCAACGCCTTCTAGTCCCTCTCTTTCATGAAATCCTGAGGTGCTAGAGCAATGTGGCACAGCATAAGCCTTTGAGTTGGAGAACACTCCCTTACCTCCTTCCAGGTTTCTGCTAGTCCCCTTCTTGGCACCAAGTCTTTCTAGCGGGGACTAATTGCTGCTCTTCTCCTCTTGTTTTACAGCTCTATGCAGGTGAGGCTGGGAGAGTACAACATTGATGTGCAGGAAGATAGCGAAGTGGTCAGAAGAGCTTCACTAATCATTCGCCATCCTAAATATAGTTCACTGACCCTTAATAATGACATTATGCTGATCAAGCTGGCATCCGCGGTGACTTTCAGTGCYGATGTTCAACCCATAGCTCTGCCCAGTGCCTGTGCCAAGGTAGGCACYGAGTGTCTCATCTCAGGATGGGGAAACACCCTGAGCAATGGCTGTGAGTATCGGCTTATGCTGTGAGTAATTCGTCATGCTTTTCCTGCTCTGCCACGTACACTTCATGCCTACTTTGCAACCTTCCCTTGCTCCAACCCATGTTCCCCACACTGCCCTGCCACTTTGTACAGTGCACTTGGCATTTCCACGTGCAGGCCATGCCTTTACTTCACCCCTGCTTTGCTKCATGGCTCTTGCACATACGTCGACAGGGCTTCCTGCTCAAGGGCAGTACTGAATCCCAACACAACACCTCATTTCCACTCCTTATTTTCAGACAATTCCCCTGAGATTCTCCAGTGTGTGAAAGCTCCCGTCTTGAGTGACCAGGCRTGCCAAGCTGCGTACCCCGGGGAGATCACCAGCAGCATGATGTGTGTAGGATTCCTGGAAGGCGGGAAAGACTCCTGCCAGGTAAGAGCTGCTGAGGTCTGGGCAGAGATCTGTCGCAGACACGTTTATGCCTCATCTCGAGGTGCACCTTCCCCACACAGTGCCCTTCCAGTGGCATTGGGGCACCGGCTATGCCTCACACAAAACCAGCAGGAGCAGCCACAGCTGCCCAGGCACAGGGTGCAGTAGTGGTCAGTTGCGACGGGGCAGGAGGGATCAGCAGTACAGCGGTGGAATCCTTCAGTGTTCTCATACCATGGCGTGATTCAGAACCCTCAGCACCCCCTGCATCCTTTGCATAAGGCCCAGACCTTTCCAGGTGAGATTCTGCTTCTAAATCAACTCACACTTCTACCTTCTTCCCTCCAGGGTGACTCTGGTGGTCCAGTTGTGTGCGATGGAACCCTCCAGGGGATTGTGTCATGGGGATATGGTTGTGCTCAGAAAGGCTACCCCGGCGTCTACACCAAGGTCTGCAATTTCCTCAGTTGGATCCAAGAAACCATCGCGGCCTACTGATGTGTCAGCGACACCTGGTTCCCAARCCACTGCCCTCCTGCCCCCTCACTTCCTCTCAAAAATAAGATAAAATAAAAGCACAAATGAAACCATACTTAAGAACCTTAAAGATGTAAGTAGGTAGATCCTTCGTGGGCTGAAGCATGCTCCACACAAGTGGGGCTCTCTGCAGCCCTTAAGGTATCTTTTCCCAGACCTCCCCTCCCTGCCTCTTCTTGTGTAGGCATGTGTTGTGAAAATGTTGCAGTTCAAAAGCCGTAGTGGGGCGGGGGCGGGGAGATATCAAATTAGTATCGGATTCACAAACAGTCTATGGACCGTAGGTCCGATTGCCTTCCTAGCAGTGAATTGAGTTCCCAAATAGCCTGATCAGCTATAAGATCAATTCTGACAGTATTGGATTCATGAACAGTCTGTGAACTGTAGGTCCGATCGCTTCCCCCCAGACAAGTAGTCAAGTTCACAAACAGTATTATTTATTTAAATGCAACATTTACAAAGCAGGATTTGGATGTCAGTATCGGAAATTCTCTACTACAATGTGGGGTTTTTTAGCTCGCCTTGATGTACAAATGTGCAATCATCACTCACCCCAGAAGATGGGAGCGGGCTCTCAGTCTCGAGTCTTCTCAGGTGGTGTCTCAACCCGAGGGGAGGGAAGGGGGATCAGCCTGTTGACTGACCCAAGAGTGATGATGGATTCACCCCTCTCAGTTGTTAGTCGTCTCAGGCGATGTTCAAGTCCGAGGGGAGGGAAGGGGAATCAGCGCATCGACTGACCCAAGAGTTACGATGGAGTCTTCCCCTCTCAGTTCTTAGTCTTCTCAGGCAGCATCTCAGCCCGAGGGGAGGGAAGGGGGATCAGCACAGCAACTAATCCAGAAGTTAGGATGGAATCTTCCCCCCAAGTTCTTAGTCCTCTCAGGCGGCATCTCAGCCTGAGGGGAGGGAAGGGGGATCAGCGCAGTGACTGATTCAGAAGTTACGATGGATGTTTCCCCCAGAAGTTCTTCATCCTTAGTTCACCTTTTATACTTTTCTTTACATTCAGGTGGAGCTTGAGTGACTAGAGTCATACTTAATATTGTTCTTGATTGGTGAAAAATTTTCTCGCTTTCATTTAAAGGTACAGTCAATCAAAAATCTAGAGCGCATGCTCAGTGAGGAGTGGTCATACCTCGGAGGCGGGTAACTTTTGGGATGGAGGTGTGTTTTGGCATTATAATGAGCATATAATGAGCAAAGTTCAAGCAAAGTTCATCCAAAAGGAGTGATTTGCCACTTTTCTGGCTCAGCACCGGACTTTTTATCGTATACCTCCCATTGGACAGCTGCTGTGCGGCTTATCAGTGGCCCAGCACAGGCAGTGCAACAGAGTTTGGCCACAGGGTCTTCACTCCGCTCCATCCTCTGTTACTCCCCTTCGCAGCTGTGAGGAGGGCAGATTGTGTTGCCCAGACAACTGTGGAGGAGCTGAGTCCATGCGTACCAGCCATCCTGGAAGTGGCAACAGTGTCTCACCCCAAGCAAGGTTCTGTAATGCCAAAACTTCTGTTAGGCCCTAGTTTTCAAACAGTTCTTCCACAGCATGTGCACAGGGAGCTGTGGTCTAGAGCTGCTGGGTGGGCAAGCAGTAGGACAGGGCAGCTTTTTACCATCTAGGAAGTCTTCTGAGCTGCACCACTCCTTTTTCTTTACTCCTGGCCCACTTCCTGAGAAAGGCAGCAGAGGGAGCACAGATCCTAAGTGCAGTGGTGGTGCAGAGTCCCATCCATCTCCTGCTAATTCTGATGAACCATAGCCTTCTTCTTTCTCTATTCCATCTCATAGACCCTGCCCTTAGGTTGCAGGTGCGCAACCCCAATTTACAAACCTTCCAATTATCAAAGGTAGCACAGGATCCCTAGAGAGCAGCCAGAAAGACCTCCCATAGAAGGGTCTGTGTACCCGAAGCCTGCATAAACTGGGATGATGCAGGACTGTTTAAATGTCTCCAAACTCTGTCACTCTTTGAGACTGTGAGACATGGGAGTGGAACTTTTCTGGGGGAAGAAAACAAATAAACATACAAACAAACAGGTAGGCCATGGAGGCACTAGGAGAAGAGCAAGATTCTGTCAAGGCTGGTAAGGTGACATGGCCAGAGAAGGTTGAGGGGGAGTTTGGCTGTGGGAGCCAGAGTAACTGGCAAAGTTGGCATGTTGTAAAGCAGTGAACACGTAGGGGATTACACACAGTCACCCTTGACCTAGGCACTGTCTTAGACCACACCTGAAGAATCAGCACATACAACAACTCTAGAAATGGGCTGCCTTTGTTTGCTGTCTTTGTGCTGCAACAGTCATTTTTCTTCCACTGAAATTAGAAATATAAAGCCAGTTTTCTCATGATTCTGTCTTTCATGATCTTCACATTGCAAGGAACTGCCTGAAAGAAAAATGTACTGCCAAGATTGGCTCACTTTGTTTATTTTATTATTATTGTAATTATCTAGGTCTCAGAGCTTCTATTATAGGGAGCAAACTTATGCCATTCACAGATGTTGTGACTAAGATGAATACACTAGAACTAAACATATCATTTGATCACAAAATAAATAAAAGAGTAAACATGCTGAGTTTTCCCCTTCCTCCTGAGGTCATGGATGGGGAATTAGCTGATAGCACTTCCTATGAAAAGTCACCCTCTTTATAGACTATCTAAACCTAATATAGATTCTCTCTTTATAGACTCTCTAAACCTAATAACCGATTGTTTTACTGCCACATGACTCACTATTTCTTGCTTTGTCCTTGTTTCTTGTTTGAATGGACTACCTAAAACTTCATTTGCTTCCTGGCTCTGCTGAAATGAAAGTTAAAGTTTTCATTGCATAGTAAATCTGGGAGCATTACAGAAACTTGTGCTCATGATAGTCCCTATCTACACTTTTGGTGTCCCTACTTTGGGATACCAGAAAGTCTTAGTTTGTTTTTTGTTCTCTCTGACTTGCTYCATTCCAGTAAAGACATTTCTGTAAGATTCAGAGCTGTGCTCACTGCCCCATAGTTTCTTGCACATTACCTGGCAGATTTTCCTATTCCAGTAGCTGTTCAGCAAAGATTGTGCTCCATGCTCCCAGAGACCCTTCATCTGCTCCCAGGGAGTCCTTTGCAGTAGTCTCAGATCCATGATTTCCYACTCTTTTCAGATGAGGCTACAGTCATACGTTAAGGAAGCACTGAATGAGCATTTTCTCTCACATAGTTGAGACACAATATTCCTTTCCTTTCTCCTACCGTGTTCATACTTGCTTGTAGGGATCTTTAATGAATAAGGGGGGTGCAGTAAGCTGCTGGTGAAGGTCAAAAAGAACAATAAGCTGTTGATGCAGAACAATAAGGTACAGTAAATTGCTGAGGTAGCCAGACTAAACTAGGTCAAGTAAGTGAAACATAGTTTTAAGAATTACATCAGGACTATCCAATCAGCTTCATGGTCATACTGCAGGCCAATGATTGGATACAGCCTGGAGACAAGTGGCGGGATAGTGACGAGGGATGAGCGTGTGGAGTTGTGATTGGTTGGAAGCGCGAGCGCAGCTTACTGTATAAAAATGTACTAGAATCTGYAATAAACGGGGCAAGATGTTAAACTCATATTGAGTGTGATTCTTGTAACCCCGGCCGATTCCCTACACTTGCTCAATCCCTTCATACACAATACATTTACTCCTCTTCTATCTAGGGATATTACTGTTCATCTGAATGTTCCATGAAGTATGTCCATAGAACGTATATTAGGGATAATATGCGAATTACTTTATGGCATAGTCATTGGAGCATATAAACAATATTGGTAAATTTGGGATTGACCTTTGGATGATTTGGGGTGGGGGAGGGGTTGGTTTTTTGTTTTGTTTTTGTCTTCTATTTAAATGAAATTACTAAAAAATATAGCATATCTGCCTAATCTCAGCCTTCTTACATAAATATTGAAAAAGTGTTGTCTATCAGCTCTAGGAACAAGATAGAGAACAGTCTCTTTCTCAGCTCTTTAGAAGTTTGGAGTGGAAAATGGAACTGCAAAGCCTTATAAAAACAAACTTATCAGTAGCCCTCAGGGTACTGCAAGTTAATGAGATCTCTATTGATTGGTAATAGCTGTGCAGTTTCCAGGTGGATGTAGAAAGTCACAATGATGTATAGTTGCCATATTAAACTCCTGCAGCCTCAGTATCCCAATCCATTCTGAGACACTACCATATTTTCTCCAAGACAGTGCTTTTTTGCCATCTCAAAGTGGCATTGTGCATATTGCAGCTCTTCAAAAAGTTTCTCTTGAAACAGCTCTTTGTAGCTCCTTGTACTTGTCTCCCTCCTTGTCCTCATATTTATTCTAATTTTCTTCCTGATGCAGAGGAAGGTGGGGATGCTGTAGCTACAGAGATTATAGCAGTGTGTCTTGATCTCTAGGCTTTCAGATACTCCACTCCACACTTCAGTGACATCTCAGACACATCTGTTTAACTTTCTGTATATTCTCCATAAATAGCAGTGAAGGAAGAAGCAGTTTGTCAATGGCTGCTTGCTTGCAGTATACAGCTAACACTGACTACTCAAAAAATGAGATGATAGAAGGAGAGGATGTTAAATTATCACATTCCTATGCAGATAATTATGCCATATCATCCTATGTATCTATGATTCCTTTATTTCCTTCACCTTGTTTCTTTTCTCTTCTGACGTGTTTATTCGAGCTTCTTGTTAGACACTCTTGATTTGTGCCTGTGTTGATACACTGGAGAACAACATTACACCCCAAGTGTTCATCTTCTGCTCCAAAGCCTATCCTTCCACTAGGCCAGTGAAGTGGTTATCTATCTTGTTATCTCTATCAGTTCTGACACACAGGAAGCCTGAAAGCAGTTGCTGTTGTGGTGGGAATCCTCTCCAGCAACTGTCAGACGACTAAGTCTAACTCTCCAGTGATTTCCTTTCTAGCTTTTCTTTCATCTTTCAGCATGTCAAACTTGTCAGTTCTGAGTGAGAAAACTGTTTTCTCATCCAGCTACGAAGTATGAACTGTCTCTGATCTACTATATAATGTAGATATGTTCTGAAAAGGAGTTGCTGCTTAATTCTAAGAATTTATGGGAAGATGTACCAAAAATATAAGAAAAATACTCCCAGTAGACCTAAAACAAATCTGTGTTTCTGCCTGCTTCTCCTCTCCTTTGTAAGCTCTGGAGAAGAAGCAGGACTGATRTAAGTTATGACATCATTACTTTCTTGTGAATTTTCCCCAGCTGAAATGTTACTAATTTAAGGAAAGATGACCTTAATGTCTCTCAGTTGCACATGCTTACCTTTCCTTGTTGACTAAAGTTGTAAGTATCTTAAAATGTCCTATATAAGGCAAAAAAAAAAAAAAAAACCAAAAAAAAGGTAACTATCTTTATGTCTTTTCCTTCTTCCTGCCTTCATCCTTTTGGATTTCTGACCTGATAAGCCTTTGCCAGCCTTTACCAGGCTATATGTTACAATAAAATGTGACAAGACTGCTCTCTGTTGGCACTTCTTGAAAATTACCTTGTGAAAGTAACATCTGAGGCATCACCCAGAAACCCTCTTTCAAAATTAAATAAAAACAGAGGAAGGAATATACTTGTTCCACAGAGAAACTTTCTAAATGAAAGACACCACATATGAGAGGGTTTGTAAGTGACACTAAGGATTCTGACTGAGCTGTAGATTGGAGGATACAAACTCCAAAATGATTGAAATGGAATGGCTTTAGACCCTGGGAAAAAACACTATGTGTTCAGAACAGACAGAGACTAAACAGGCAAATATCATTATTTAGGCAGATCCAGACTGACAAATAAAAAATTAATGTATTTTTTAAATAATTCCATCTAAACAAAGACATGCCTAAAATAAGGAACTTAAGCATACAATTTTGCTGATGTAGAATACAGGGTATTGGAAGGCAAGCTGAGATCTGTACAATATCTTCGATTTCAATGGTCTTCAGTTGTATCCTAAGTGTTACACCTTGTTCTGGCTTTCTCGTCCTCTTCCCAACAACCATAACTGCTATTCCCAGCTGAACAGGACAGGTCATAACTTACAGGTCATAACTGCTATTCCCAGCTGAACAGGACAGGTCATAAATCTTCTGAGATTTTTTTTTTTTTTTAACCTAGCCAAAGAGTTGCCTTGTTTCAAATAATGTTATTTGTACCTTCTTTTCTCCTTTTTTAATCAAGACATTTTGAAGTGAAACCATTCAAGAACATTATGAACAGCATTTCTACTGCAGGTGCTCCTTCATGTGGCTAGTTATGTATGCATTGAATTTTTATTTGAGAAGAACAGACCAGGATGARATGCCTTTGCTCCAAACAACTGGATTTGTGCCTGTCCTTTCCTGTATTGCCCCAGTGTATGGTAGGGACCATGGTGCCACTGGCACAAATCTTTCTCTCTTGAATGTTACAGGATAGCTGTACTGTGGACAGGTCTATGGGGAAGAATGCAATTGTGTGTTTGCATTCAGTTATGGTATATGGAAGGGAAATAAAGTATCCTATAACCTGTCACCTCTACTTCCTGCACCCTTTGGACAGCCTATATAATGAGGGCACACACATATCTAGATGAGGCTTTTCCATAATCGGTGCCAAAGGGCACCTGGAGAAGCTTGTATTTCTGCTTCCTGTAGCAGGACATACAAAAGAATAAAGTCTCAAGAGCTCAGCATCTTATTTGCCTCCCTTTTAGAGCATCTGTGACAGGTGCAGAACAGTCCAAAGAAGATATTCATGATCAGACAAGGAAGCAAAAGGAGCTGCAATCTGCAGTAAGCAAATAACCCCAAGTACAAACCATCTACTATAGGCTAGAGCCTTGGCTGCTTGTGATCCCTGAGACAGAAGGAAAAGGAGTGGGAAGAACAGCATTAACACTGCCATGAAGTTACCAAGTGAAAAAGATAACCATATATAAAAGCAGTTAATATAATTTTTAAAATATATCACTTTAGGGACATATAAAGGAATATATATATGCCTTTATATAAAAAGTATCCTTGTTGGGACTATAAATTCGGGGATAAAGAACACTATGTACAGGGATAACGTACGCTAAGAAGTAATCAAATTATCATACAGAAACATACAGCACTTCCTCCAGCAATGGCAGAGGAAGGAAGTGGTATGTGGTTTCCAAGGCAATCTTTCATGGCAGCTGTGTGAAAAAATGGGAGGGCAGAGCTATGTATTGGATTGTTTTTGTATGACGATGCATCATTGTGGGGACAGGGGGCTCACCATGATACATTCTCCCAGAAGGCCTTTACAAAAAAACCCTATGTGTTTAAGCATCACAGGAAATCCTGCTGACAGATGCGGAGCACTCTGCAGCATCATGGTCATGTACTATCTTGGTTTCTCATGGGAGACTTACTGTAATGGGAATCTCTTCTCTTCCCTTCCATCATCTGAGAACTAGAAGCCTATTCTCTCTGAAAACAAGGCAGAAGACTCTGGGATGATCTCAAAATAATTTTTCAGAAAACMAGATCCACTGGAGATATATCTAAAACCTGTAGGAGCATATGAATGAGACAACATTTTACTATTGCAATAATGTTTTGCTAAATAGCGAAAAAGAACTCTAATATGGTGAACCGTTACAAAAAGAGTTCTGAAATGGCAAAATGTAGTCAGTGCCTGTTAGAGTACTGCTTTCTGCATCAGCTGACAAAAAAAGAGGCAGTAAGTGTAAAATACTGTTGGGCCTTAAATAATCCTCCAGAGTCCACTGGCTGAATGTGATACCTGTTAGTTCCATATTTCTCTCTGATCATTCTCTGACCAATTATTCTGGGCTTTGTGTGGATTACTTTTTAAACTATTAGTGAATTGAACAGGGTTCTGCATGAGTATTCCAGATGGCTGACCTGCCAGTGAAGAGGAAACAGATGAGTTTTAATTCTTTGCTACAATGGTGTACCTTCCATATGAACAGAGTAGGTGACCATGACAGCCAGAAAGCAAGTAATATTTGATTATTTAACTTTATAAATGGAAGGATTCCTAGTGTTTAGAGGCTGAGTCAGAAAGCTCAAATTATAAAGGAATTATATTTCTAGACACTGTCAGCTTCAACCAATCGGGGTCCCTCTGTAATGTTCCTACTGCAAGTCTGCAATATCAGATGGTATCCATGGGAAAACACGGAGATTAGAGAATGGTTGTGAAACAATTTGAGGTGAAACATAGAAGATAAAAAAAAATATGAATGAATTCTGAAAAAATGCTCTTGTAAGCTTCTGCTTACTGAAGTCACTTACAGTTCATCCCTTTGCTTATGATACAATACTTTGTCACTGTGAACAATAAGGTGACTTTCGGCGATGGCACAAAGCTTACAGTGATGGGTAAGAAATCTTTGTTTTCTTTTTTAAACAATTTGAAACTCATATCTTTTCTTTAGAGAGTTTGGTGTGTATTTTTCACCTCTTTCATTATTAAACTGGTGTTTCTCTGATAGCTTAATAACCTAATCTACTTTGGAGAATAGTTTATGTACTTCAGGTGAGACTACACAGCTCCTTGGAGAACTGAATTTTCTGTGAATAAAGGGCTGTCTATAAAAATAATGAGAATGAGAAGTGGGTTGCACTTCTGGATATATGCAAATAATAAATATACAAGTGGATATAAGCAAATAATAAATATAACTTCTTTATAAATCAACATCTGAAAAAAATCTAAAAGTATAACCTTTTCTCATAGTTCTAGTTCTTCTGGGGCAGCAGGTAATTAAGGACAGGTCACTGAAGAGCTCTCTGTCTAGAAAGGACTGAATTACAGTCACACTTTGGTCAAGTCAAGAAGACAAAGTCAAAAATCTGTAACTAAAATTACTTTGAATTATCTAGGTTAAATTAAAGCATATTTTATCAGAAAACTGAGGAAGGCAAATATTCATACCAAATAGTCATTTTAATTGTCAAAACAAACAAATAAACAAGAACTCAACTTCAAGCTTTATCATAAGTAATGCAACTGTATTGTAGCTATTTGATTCATAATTGTTCTCTGTTCTTCACACCATGGAAAGTTTCCACAAAACAAGGTGGTTTTTTCTGCTTCTAAGACCCTGATAAATGTTGGTGATCTGTGCTTCTCATTATACGGTCCCAGCAGACAGAAGAATTGATACCTCAGAATTTTAGATCTTATTTCACTGGAAAGTAAAATGCTTAGATAAATGATGATATAACTCAGTCTCTACAGCAAAAATGACCTGCTGTACTGTGAGGAATGCAAGAAATGCTCACTGACAGTCATTAGAAGACCAGTTGCTGTATGACAGAAGGGCCATGTAGTAATGATATGCAAAAGTTTACACTGACATTTTCCTGCCTGCACTTACCTCATTTTCAAGAAAGAATTGAAAACTACTCCACTTATCACCATATAAAACCTTATCAGCATAAGAACCTATCACCATATAGTTGTTTATTTTTAGTACTCCAGGGAATGGACAGTCTCTTCCCATGGTCTACTGGGACATGTTTGGATGCTGACTCAGAGGTTTATCTACAACTGCTTAATTCACTAAACTCTTTCAAAAACTCTGAAGATGAAGGATGAGGGAGAGATATTAGTTATCACAGAGGTTAAAAACAAATAAATAAATAAACAAAAACTACCCCTAACTAAAGAACAAAATACAGCTTTGCCCAAGGCACTACAGAAAATGGAATGGATTTTGACAGTCTCTGGTAGAAGTGTATGCTATGGAGCACTAGGAACATGGAGGTTAGTATAATGGCACATGTTGACTGGCTCTACATTTCCTTTTTTCATGAATTTAGAAACATGTTTTGTTATGCAACAAAATGTTATATCTTAACCCTCTTCATACACACAAATGGATATGTGTCAATGTCGGCAAGAGGACTCCAGTAAAAATAAATAAATAAATAAATAAATAAATAAATAAATAAATAAATAAATAAATAGAAACTACAGCCTTTATCTAGTTTCTCACAGAGCTGTCACAAAGGGAGATCTGTTCCATTGTCTACGTGTGACTAAATGTGAGAGACTGTCCAGATCACCTGGACCAAATGAGTGAAGTTAAGGATTACAGGGATATGAGACACATTATGGGATACAGAGGGAAAGCACTTTAGGAATGTAYAAAACTTATTATGGATGGAGGAGCCAAAAGCAAGGAAAGGGAGGGACCCAGATAGTTTGGGGAGAAAGAAGAATGGGAAAATAAAAGGATAAAAGTGTCCATCTGTTTGTGAAGGAGTGCTTGCTTAGTGTATTTATCTGACCATGTCCTCTACGTGATCAACAGGCTCTAGGGGATGTCATAATATACCTTCGCTCAGGCCTACGTTGATATAWGATTGAAAGCATGTTGGCTTTTTTTATATTCCGATAAATGCCCTGTCCTRCTTCATCCAGTACTAAATGAGGAAGAAAGATGATGTTAATATGCAAGGGAAGCAGGAAGGTTTTGAAAAAGAAAGGTCAAATAAAAGGAAAAAAAGCTTTCAAAATATAACTCTGGGTAGAAGATGGAAAGTAAAAGTTCAAAGTCACTGATTACGGGAATTTAAAAGCTAGGGAAAGTTACTATTCACACTCTCAAAGGTCAAGAGTTTTGTCCATTGTGAGCTTGCAATACGTTCATGCTGACAAGATATGTTTTCAGACTGATGGAACTGGACTTGTATATCATAAAGATCAGTCTTTGTAATGTTGAAGGAGACCCAACCATCACAGAGTGTAGAAGATCTACAGGAAGCATTATACTTCTCTTGTACACCGCTCCTTTGTTCTCTCCAGCTACTGTAGTCTGGAAAAGAGAATAAACTGGACAAACGTTTTCTTTTCTTGCTTTAGGTAAATGATGCCTAGAGCTCAGACTGCCAGCAAGTCAAGGCCTGAATAAGTCAAGGCCTGTAAGAAAAMCGTTTTGGAATCTAATTCCCAAGCTACTACTTTCATGAGCTTATGGATCAGTCAACACTAAGGCTAAAAAGGACCACAGAATTATCATTTTGATATCTTGTATATCACACATCAAAAYAATTTATTTAATTTTAATTTTTAATAAGCATAACAAATTAATAAAAAGCTTGAGTTCAACTAAAGCATGCAGGTGTCCAGAAATGATTGGAAGATATCTAGAATTTCAGAAACCACCTCCCTTTTTGGTAGCTTGTTGAAGCAGTAGATCACCTCCTTTTTGCTTAGTTCTGTCTTAATTTAGTCTAGATGTATTTGACTTCAGCTTCCAGACATTAACTAATTCTATGCTTGTCTCAGCTAGTATACCATTCTCTTGTACTGTACAACAATCTCATTTGTCCTACACTCTATTGCTTGTTCTTGTATCCAAAGTTTTCTTGCTGAAGTTCCTCATCACTCTGTAGTTTTAGCTTCTATTATTTCTTTCACCTGGAGACTACAATGGGGATGTCTGGATCTTATTGGTTGTGCATATGCTGCCAATAAACTGTCACAGAGCAGCAAGGGCCAGCAGGAAAGCTAAGCCAGGAATCAGAGTGACTACAGTACCACAGAATCTAAACTCTGCAAGCAGGGTAGGGAGCTGACAACAGGRTCTCTCAACAGTTCCAAGCAAGAAAAATGATGAATCAGGTCTAAGATCTGTCCAGAAAGTTATCATGAGTAAAAGATGATGGGTCTAGACACTAGGCTTGAAACAAGACTGGAACATGGGTCCAGAGTCCATCCAAGAGACAGGCCAAAGACAAGACTGAAGAGAAGATGCAAGGCGTGTATGAAGGGACCATTCAAAAGACAAGTTATGTACAATGTATGCCCAATATCCATTTAGGAGACAGGACCAGAGACAAGGCTGAAGACACATAGGCCTACAACAGAGGTCTGCCAAGAACTGGAGGTCCTGAAATGAAGCTTAAATGGACCCACTAGCAGAGAGTGGGTGTGGATGTTTAGAGCGATTAAAATCTGTGGGTGCCTTCAGGTTGCTTTAAGAGTAAACATCACATGTTGGAGCCCTTGTCAATATATCACTCAAATAAAATGAGAGTTTTATTCCATATGTCAATTTTTTACTCATTCTAATATGTATTGAGAAACAAATCACTGATAACTGTTACAGCAGTGCTTAACTGWAATCTTGAGACTGTTAAAAACTTTACATCCTTGTAATACATTAGGGGTGTTAAACTGAAGTGATTGGAATCTAGGCAAAAATGTGAACTGCTTAATATACAGAGAAAGCGAAAAAGATCAGCCTGGTGCAATATGACTAGAAAGGTCACTRGTGAATTATGTCAACTACTTAAGCTAGAAAATAGTTAAGTAATTAAGACAAGAGCTCCTCAAGACAAACACATTCATGGATATCAAACACTATGCAAAAGACTGAATTGAAGGAGGAAGCTCTATGCATAAAAGCTAGGCCACTAGCCTAAACTCAAATACCTTGACCTACTGGAGTGAATGTTTCCCCAAATMATGGTGCTAGCCACAGCTGTACTTAAGCCTAATTTGGTGTGTTTTCTGTCAAGAATGTGGGTGGATGGGAGAATATATGTATACAGATAGGTGTGCACATATGAGAATAGAAATCTTAGAAGAGAAATTGCTATCCACCCACTATTCCTATTTCACTTAGTGCATGTATTTTTGATTACATGTCRCTGTGCAGTGGTGTTTTGTTCTTGTGGATCTGGATACTTCATTCCTAAATTCCCCCATGAGAACAAGTTAGCACTAACCTTTGTTCATCTACTTGAGCTATTTAGTTCCTACTGCTGCCTATATGAAACATTAATACTTATGTCTATCTTTCTTGCTTCCAGCCTCTCATCAGTAACCAGCCATGACTTCCTGTTTCTCATTAGATTTAAATACAAGGTTGGGTTGTAGAGTAGTAGTAGATGGGAGAAAAGATGTAACAATACAATTCTAGACACAGACATAGAGAAACACCTCTATCTTCCCAGGTGTCTCTGAGGTATGATTGTTCCAGTTAAGACTGTCCATTTCCTGTAGTTTAGTCAGTATAAGAACAGACTCTGGTATTTTCTTAAGCTTTTCCTAAGCCACTGGGAGTAGTGCTGAGGGAAAGCCTGTTTTTGTATCAAGCTTAACCATTGTGGGAACAGTGGGGCAGCACAGTAACGTATTTCTTTGGGAGGTCTTTACAAAAACCTCCTGGAGGTAATGAATGAATTTTGAGGCCTCCGAGGAGTATGACCAGCAAGAACAGATGAACAAAGCATAAAGAACCCTCTGCTACCGATACTCAGACTCCAAACTGTAACTACATGCATGAAATGTTGTGTTATCMTCTAACAAAATCCTTGTTCCTGCTCATCTTCACATGGGGGTATTTCTAGTCAAGCAGAGAGGTATTCTCTGCACAGAAATCAGCACATTTGTGACCATTAAAGAGTGGCCACATGAGAAAAACATACTAGTCCATGTATGTCTTTCTGCTCCCATAGGAGCTGCTGGAAGACTCTGTTTGGATGGGAGCTGAGAAGAAATGAATATAATATCATCATGAGAAAAAAAAGTAATTTGTAAAGGTTTGCAAACATTGTTCATAATAGAAAAAAGTTCATATAATATAAGAAACTTCTAGGAAGGAAGCTATCAAAGGAAATAGAATGCATCCCAGCACTCCCACATTATTATTTTAACAACACGCCCAACAGGCTACTTCATAATATCATGTTTAAGCCAGTTTCCAGTGTCTCACCAAAAAGAAAAAAAAGCTTTTGCATCACTTCTTTTTGGGCACCCAATTCTATGATCTACTTGACAGCACTGTTAACATTTCTTCTATTGTCTCCTACCATCATCAGTCAAAATCCCTGGGACTATCTGCCACTGTGATACTTCTCTCTCTTTCTCACACAGAATATTCACATTCTTCCCTCCCTTTTTTTGTTGCAGGGAGGGGCATATTTTGAGACAGGCTTTGTAGCATTGTGATAAATAATCTGCAATTTGGTCCTGGGACCCAAGTAACAGTACTAGGTAAGTGGAAAAATAATCTTACACTTTTAATAAATAAATAGTAATAGAATTTTTCTTAGAGAAAAATAGTTACACAAAAATGAACAGAAGGGAAGTCAGAGGAAAAAGATGTAAATTGGGTGACTGAATGAGTTTCAACAACTCCGCTCTTCATTAGCACAGTTTAATGATGGCAGAAAGGGAATAAATTCACTGCTTCTGCATTTGTCTGCAAAAGGCATCTCAGATTAAGCTTTGAGAATAAGACTGAGAAATGGGATTAAGATACCAAGATGAGAAAAGTGACTTGCTAGATAGATAGGAAGATTCACTATATACAGTATCTCCTGGAAAAATAGCTCAACTTTTTTGCATATTCTTCTGCATAAATCCAGCACATTCTAACACAGATGAGAATATAAAGGTCCTCTCTGTATATCGTACAACAAACGACAGGTTTTATGTGCTCTTGATAGCTTCTAGTGGCAGATGATTCTGGTACCTCTTCAAAACACTGTGCAAATTCACCACTGATCTTCGGACAGGGTACCCAGCTGACAGTGCTAGGTAAGTTTCCCTGGGCTCTTTTGCTTTTTAATCAACATAATACTCATCAGAGAAAAGGCTGACATAACTGTAAGAAAGTACTGGGGGGCTGATTTTAGAAAACAGGTTAAGTAATCTATTATCTTGGCTAAAGGCAACTAAGAGAAATTCTAAATTCATGTCTAATGGCCTAAAAGAGGGGAAAAAATCTCTATTACTAAGTATATCTGGATACTACAGGGTTSTTTAGAGTCAGTGTGAGATGAGACAAGTTAATGTAAGGCAAAGCTATAAGTGAAAAATCAATCTGTGGTCCCCGAACTTAAACCTGATGGAGATACGACAGTATTTTAGGAAAGTAGCCACTACATGCTTTCATCTTACAGTCTTCTTTTAACATTCAACCTTTGTGAATATCAGAAAAATAATGCAGATCTCGTGAAACTTCTTAGTATGACTAGCACAGCTACTCTGATATTTTTCTATTCCTATTCCATTAAATTTGTCTGTGTGACTCGTAAGAAGGAGAAGCTTTTTTCCATGTCTTGTATCGGTCATATAACCACAACTTCACACATCTGCAAGTAAAAAACAGGCTAATTTTCACTAAAATAACAGGCAGGATTCAAGAGCGATAGAGTGGGATGATGTTTGTAGCTGCTTTTTCTATAACTGTGTACTCTGGAGTTGAGTTTGGTCAGGGCACAGTGTTCTCTATGTTAGGTAAGAAAAATTAATTGCTTCAGTGAATAGCTTGTAAGTCACTTCTCAGTTAATGCATTTGCTTATTTGAAAAGGATATATAAATAGGTTTAAGAGAAATCTATCATATTTTTCTTAATGTCATGATCATAATTATTTTTATTATTATTAAGGATAAAGTCCTTATCATAATTGTCATTATTGTGATAAAAATATATTTGTTCTAAGGTATATCTGGGTATGGAGTCCACAGAAAGGAATGTTTTTCTTGCCCCGTGGTTGTCATTTCTTCCATCTCTACAAAACACTACAAGGAGAAAACACTATACTGAGCAGTCAGATTGATGTTCTTATTTCAACTGTTCCTTAAGTAGTCTTGTGGCTGGTGCAACCATAAAAGGACTGTTTTACGATAAACTACTTAGAAAATGCTTTTATATGTTTCAGACTCCAAACATTTGAATATCTTCTGCTAAACAATACAATGTCCCACAATAATGAACAAAGAGTCTTATAATTTTCTTCTTACTAAGGGAGGAAATTTGAGTGGATTTCTCTTTTACACAATCTCAGACAATGCCAAGTAACAATCATAGCCATGCAGACCACTACCCCCAACTCCGCCCCAGGTTTTGGCAATAGAAAAAATAGCCACACTTAAAAGAGCTACTGCCATTTGGAAGAGGTATCAGGCTGGCTGATATAAGAAAATGCTAAAAAGTATGTTTGAAATAAGACAAAGAAATCCTAGCTTGGAGAATTTTACATCTATTTTTTGAATCACCAGTATGTATTTTACCCCAGCCATGTTTAAATTAATCTATGTACTGACAAGGTCRATAGATGAATCTCACAACTGCAGTCACAATTTTCTTAACTAATTTTTCCTCCACTTAGATTAATCATAGTAAAAGATCATAATAATATGTCATTTTTAGTTCTGAGAGTTTTGAAGAAATAGACAAATTGGTGTTAATTTGTTAAATTAATAAAAATAYGGAGAAGGCTACCAAGGAAGCAGGATTAATGGAATAAAATGGAGGGAGGAAAAAGGATGAGAGAGAAGAGCAAACAAGAGACCACACATCAGGTATAAGAATGTATAATATCTCTACAGCAAAAAAGTCCCCAGAGGCTCTACCCAGTGTTCATTGATTCTGTGTTTCACTACAAACTCTGACGAACTCTTTTCCCTGGAATTAAATGACTGGCAGAATGAACCAAATCTTATGATTCCCCACTTTTTCCTACATCTCTCACTATCATACCCAAATGGAAAAAGAGAACAGATGAATGGAAGCTCTTTGAGGATAATGAAGACAAAGTACAGCAACAGACAATGAAGTGCTTTTCTGAAGGAGGAGACATGGAGGGTAGTATGAATTTTGTAATTCAAATCATAATTAGAAAATAAGGTGGAATATGTAATATCCAAGTGCTATCTTGATAGGTGGATATACTTTCTTTTCACCATACCTTGATACTACTCTGCCAAAAATGGTATTTGAAGGACTAACATGGCTATCACTGCATCATGAGGTTCTGCTCTGCCAATATCCAGTGTTTTGGAGGAAAAAAAAAAAAAAAAAAAAAAACAGAAGTAGCAGTTCCAGGTAAGAGGGAATCATGCGAGGAGTATGTTAAGTTGTGCAAAAAGCAAGATTCTGGGAGTGTAGCCCTGGTAAATATAGCGGGAAGTCTGTGGATGCAGATAAAGAATGAAAAATAATCTCTTCACAAAAAATACAAGATGTCTCAATATACCCTATACAGCCAGAGTAGACACTACATAGCACTATGCAGCAAAATGGGACATAAAAATATTTCCTGCGCTGTTTGGATTAAGTTTAATATAACCTATAAAGACACTTGCCTATAAAACATTTAATGAGAATGACTGTATTCATTAAGCCTAACAAAGGAATCCTTACAAGTCTTGTGCTCATGCATAGACTTAGAGAGGGATTATGGTGGAGAATGGACAGAGTGAATGGGGGAGAGATTTGGGAATGGCAGTTTTGGAGAATCATTAAGACATTGCGTTCTGGAACAGACAGCTACATTTCAGAGAAAGGACATGACTAACAGTTCTAGGTAAGAAAAGAAAAAGTAACCATGGAAGCGTTGAAATTCTAAAATAAAAAGAAAGGTAATTTTTGGTGGGACATAAATCAGTAAATTTTGTGATCCTCACTGGGATTCACTGACAGAAGATGAGGAGAAAAAAATGAGGCAGCATAGCACATTTAARACCAGTTAAGCAAAACAGAATAGTGGTGACAAAATAGTGCTTTTGTGCATGAATGAATGAATCTATTGTACTCTATCTCTGGTCCAAAACAATGTATTTTTGAAGAAAAACAAATCACAGTTGTAGATAGTGTGATATCATCTGTGTATGCCCTTACTGATTTCAGTTTTTCTGCTTTCGAAAAGTAGGATCCAATAGCAGTTTAAGGAAAATACAAGTGGTCTATTTGTCCAATCACAGGAAAACTGATGAAATTAATTTTTATCAAATTAGATACAGGCAACTTCACTTGTTAGTGCTGATGCTCAACTACACTACAGAATATAGGAAAGGAAAATTTAAAAAAGAGAGACAAAATGCTAGTTTCATTGAAATGAGTAACAAATCTTCCACTAATTTCAGTTAAATAAAGTTAATACTCTCCATTTCAATTGGAATTAATTAATTCCAAATAATTTGGAATTCCAAATTATTCTATTAATTAATTTCTATTTGGTTTCTGACTACACTTTTTGGAGTCATTAAAAGTCATGACATCTTTACCATGACATCTCTCAACTGTCTACYATTTTATCCATCTATTCACATTTAAAATGTATTCCCTGGATTCCTAACAAAATAATAGGGAAAGAAGAGAGAAGAAGACAACCAAATGAGACATAAATAAAACCAGGAAAAACTGTAAGTACCCAGAAAAAAAAGTTTTGTATTTACTCTGCACCTTTATATGTTAAAATCTGGAACCAGATTCTGTGTATATAATCTATTAATTTCAATGATAATAGTGATTATATTTAGAATATACTATACTAATATACTATATTAAAAATGTAATATAAACGTAATTGTTTTTTAGATTAAAAATCATGATTATTTAGATAAAAATCATGATTTTTTAGATTAAAAATCATGTTAGCACTCTCAGTGCTAACAGTTGCACTGGATCCCATCTTTCAACATACAGATTCGAACAAACAAAAAAATAGTCTGATCGTAAAAGGGTAAAGGAAGTAATGGAGGCTCTGGACACTGTTTCTTTCTATTCCAGAGGAGAATGACGAAATCATACCACCAGCTGTAGCCATCTTTTCTCCATCAAAACAAGAGATCCAACAGAAAAGCAAGGCCACACTGGTGTGCCTGGCCTCTGGTTACTTTCCTAACTACCTCAGTCTGGTCTGGAAGGTGAACGGCATTCAGAGGACAGAAGGAGTGGGGACAGATGAGTCTGCAACGTGGAATGGCAGTACCTACTCGTTGACCAGCCGACTGAGGATCTCAGACCAGGAATGGTTCAACCCTTTGAATCATTTTGAGTGCGTTGCCACGTTCTTTAACAATGACACACTGGAATCAATACRCAAATTCATCACTGGTGATGCTGGTGAGGAAACAAAACAAGTATATTTGGGCGGGGGGAGAAGTCATTATCTGAAAGTTCCTATCCCTAGYGCATGCAGTCAGAACTAAAGGCACAGTTCTTGCCAGTCTACTACACTTAGATCAGATCTGTCATCCCTAGAAAATGAATCCAATTCTGTTCTCCAAACTGACTAAGGGCTACGTAACTCACATTCCCACATAGACTCATAGAATCAKAGAATCATTATGGTTGGAAAGGACCTTCAAGATGATCAAGTCCAACCATAAGCCCGTCAGCACTACGCCTGCTAAACCATATCCCGAAGTGCCTAATCTGCATGTTTCTTGAACACTGCCAGAGATGGTGACTCCACCACTTCCCTGGGCAGCCAGTTCCAGTGCTTCAGCACTCATTCCTTGTAGAAGTTCTTCCTAATATCTAATCTGAACCTCTCCTGGCACAGTTTGAGGCCATTAATTACACAAACARATCTCTTTGGAAGAGGAGCTGATATATGTGTGGGATGAAATAATTACTCCTATTCTTTCCTTCTGTTTTCAGATTGTACTATCTTCAAAGGTAAGTTAAACCACTGAAATTTTCCTTCCTTGAAATCAGTGATTTTATCAGTGTGTCCATATGTGTGGAGAGATGTGTTTTTGTGTGTGTCCGATGTGTGGAGTTTTGTTGGGGGTTTTTTGCTGTCAGACACTCCTATTCATGCCTGTGTTGAATACACACACATAAGTGTGAACATTATATTTCTGTTACCCTCACATAACATTCCATGAGACTGGTGCACTTCATATATTGCCACTGCACAARTTGTTCTAATCATCAGGATGAAAAAATATCTCCTTGTTTAGGATAAATTTTCTAAAGAAATGTCYATATTCTGAAGTTTTCTGTTTTTATTCTTTTCTCCTTTACTTTTCAGAAAACTACCAGAGAAGTGCTGTAGCTGGGAAGATTGTGTACATCATGCTCATTTTCAAGAGCATGTTGTATGGGATATTTGTGATTGGGCTGATGCTCAGGTCCAAGGTGAGGAACAGAGTACTACTACTGCTCTGTATGGCTTTGCTAACTCATTCTAACTGTGCTGGAGACCAGTGTGGACAAAATGAAGTCTTCCATTAATGTTTATACAAGCCCAGACCTCTAAAAATTTTATTGTGTGTTTCATCATTTTTAAGAGAACAAGACAGTGAGGGTGAAAACTTTAGAGAAAAAGAGGGAGAGAAAGAATGTCAGGGAGATATCACACTATACAAAGGATGAAATACCACAGAAAAGTACAGTTTATTTAAAGAAGAGAGGGAGAAAGAGGAGGGAAAATTTAGAGAAAATTAGAAAAGACCAAGAGAAGAGATGCAAAGGAGTAAAATGCTGTAAGTCAGGAAAGTGGAAGAGAATGCAAACTATCAGGAAAAAGGAAGAGAGAGAAGGAGGGAAAGAACATGAAAGAGATTGTTTCCTTCAGACTGAATTTGTGCGAAGCATTTATTTATTTATTTATCAAAAACTTGGATCTATTCTGTTTGTTTGTTTTTTCTTTTTCTTTTAACATAAGAAGCCTTAGTGCAGGATTGGATAGAGATCATTTCTATTGAAATGTTACTGGATAAATGAAAAAAGTAAAATTTCTTCAGGACTTGTCAAATTCTACAAGACTTGTCAGTTGAGTAAGCAGTACTGAATTCCACTATTGTAAATTAAGTTTGTAGCTATAGGAATCTGAGTCATTCATAATGGAAAAGACATCTTTTTATTAGCATCCCCCTCTTCATCAGTAGTCATTTAAGTAATAAAACACCATTAATTTTACACACACACTGTCACTAATTTCTGCCCAAGACACTCACATTAATTAAAATTGTTACCCTTGTTTTATAATAATATAAGGGAAAGAAAAGCAAAAGTACTCCCATCCGTCTGTCCTTCCGTCCATCCTTCCTCTTTCTTATCCTATCAGTTTCCTTCCCTCTATCTCTTCCTACCTTCCTTTCAACCTACTAAAACATAAATAATCTCCTTCTCTCTAGCTCTGTATGTTCTAGATTTCTTCTTTAATATTTTTGTTGCAAATTAATCTAAGTCATCCATCTGTAAAATGAATTGAAACCAGGCAGACTGAATTGTGGAAAAGTAGACCTTTCCATTTTATCTCTCAGAGATTCACGTATACAATGATCATTACCAGGACCTCAGTATTTCTCAGTAGCTCATTCTTAACTTCTGCTTTTTTCCTTCTGCCTTTAGAAAATGTACTAGATGTGCTTTGCCTTGAAAGATCAGGCCTGAAGAAGAGGGTGGAGATACGTGGCAAGTGGAGAGCTCAAATGTTTGTACATACTACCTTACTTGCTTCAGAAACCAGCTCTTTCTTCTGACAAATGCGGGAAATCATGTTTGTTTTTTTCACTTGTTTTAGAAACTAGCTTTTAATAAAATTTAAATTAAACTTTTTTCCTTCATTTGTATTCTACATTCTCTGTGTTTTTCTTTATCAGCCAAGATAGCCCTATCTCCAGCAGAYTTCCAAGAGCTGAATGATCTGAATTGACTTTTGAAAGAATATATAAATGAACAGAGCTATCTCTGCTTGTTGGACTAGCAATGGGCCAAAGTAGCTAATGCTTCCTGCAAATACAGAAATGAAGTATATCTGTGCCTCTGGTACTGAAAACCTAACTCCTGAGCTCAGCTTTTCATTATAAAAGGAGGACTCTATATTACACCATATGTCCCCCATGCATCAATTTCTGCTTCTGTCTTCTTGTTTTGATGCCGGAAATGTAATGCTCTAGCTCTCTCAGACATCCATTTCTGGTCAGCAGAAAGCCAGAAATTAATGACTAAAAAGCTTAACTTTTCTGCCCCATTGCAACACACAATTCTCTGAAAGTATTAAAAAAAAAAAAAAAAAAAAAAAAAAAAAAAAAAAAGACTGACCTGAGAGCTCCTTATATTCTTGAATTTGGCAGACAAATTATGAAAATAAGTAAGCACCATATTCAAAAGATAGGCATGATTGTCCACCTCCCTTCCTGAAAAGTATTTGGACTTGCAAACACAGTAACATGGTCCCTGTTAGACAGTACTGCTTAAAGTAAATAGAAGTATTGTGCTACTGACTGTTAGGCTATGGATCCATGGGAAAGAATGAGAGTAGAAAAGTAAAAGAATTTTTTTTTTGCAAGAGGTCATTGTGGTCTATCATTTTTTAAAGGGAAGGCTGAACGGAGGAAGAGGAAATACTAAGGCAGCAAATAGCAAGAGTTGTAGCAGGCAATGTGAAGAGAAGCAGTATCTTTGTAATTTGTTAAATTAATACCTTGTGCTAAAAGTCAAACAATGGGTGATTGAGAGGTAGCTTGCTCATTAATACACAAAGACAGCAGAAGCATACCTTGTATGTAGAGATGTATCCTAAACACAGGAAGGAATAATGTAGGCCAAGATATATGAACACTGGTGGACCATTTGAAGTACGATATTTAGGAATGCAATAGCAAAGGGAGACGTTGAGCGAGGTGAATATCTGGCTAAAATATCCAGTTTGAAGCCAAACGGGGAAATCTGTCTGAAAGCCTCAGCAGAAAATGGTACCTTTGGAGCAGAGCAGATGACATGACTAAGTGCACTTAAAAATACATCTTTACAAGAACAACAGTTGAGTTTAGCCAAAACAGGATRCGGTTTGACATTTACTCAAAAAAACATGTTGAAAACTTATTGGCACCTCTTACCACAGCACCATCCCACCCAGCCAGGATGAAATGCGGGGAACAGTTATCTGCCTCCTATATCACAGTCAGACAAAAGCAGTGACACATATGYGCGTTATGAAACCTGGTGGGTTTTTTGTTATCACTCAATCTTCTTGTTTCTGAAATCTGCAGTTGGTTTCTGAATGTGCAGCTGCTGTTTCTGTTGTCACACACAAAATAAAATTAAAAGCTGTGTTTTTTTGTCAACAAAGCAAGATGAAAAATAATCATAGACTCACAGAAAGGTTTAAATGGAAAGAAACATCTGGAGGTCTCTCGATCCAAACTGATATAAGAATAATCTCAAATTGGATGCTCTGTCTGTAACTATGTAACAGTTATGCTTTACATTCTTTCTTTAAGCCTTCTCTAAAAACTCTGACTTGTTGGAAACAGGTATTTCTTCTTACCTATTCATAAAAAAACAGAATAGCCTAGTGACCTTTATACTGTACCATAAAGATTTTATTTGGTGCCTTCTTGCTTTGTTAGAATTTAGGACAATTTTTATAAACACCATGTAATGTTTACACTGAAGTACACCCTATGCTAATCCTACTGCAGCAATGACACCTCTTGAGATAATGCTGCTTTAGGCTCCTTAACAGAAAAAAAAAAAAAAAACACTGAGAGGTCTTTGTGCATGAGAGACATAAGACTATTCATGATGAGTCTGAAATATTTCATCAAGGAGAGACCACAGAGTACTAATACCTTGCTTGTTCACTCATCTATTTTTTGTCTCCAAAATATAGATGCTCTTTTGGGCAATGCTTGTAGTAGGGCTTAGCTCAAAGTCAAAAAGAACTTTGAGACTTTGAAAAAGGAACATCACAAAGGTATCTAGGATAAACAATGCAAAGGCTCATACATAGAGAGAAGGAATATCAAGTTGACATGGACCATGTTATTAGCTATCAGGCTGAAAGGGAGATATTAGTAGGAAGCATATAGGGATAGATAGTCCTATGTGATTCAGTATATAACCAGAAGTAAACTGGATGGTCACTTATCAAAACTATGGCTATAGACTTGCAGGTCAGGCTAAGGACTACTGCTTTGCTACTTTAAGCCAATTGGTAGAAATTTAGTTCTACTTATGCTTTTTTATTACTATTATTTCTCATATCATCTCTTCTACAGCCCTCTTCTCATTATTGTTGATAAAGTTCTGAGTTTTATATAGGTGTTGATTTCTTGTGGTTTGGTGGCCCTTCCATGCACAGTGAAAAGTACTGCGACTTTCACTGCTTGAAAATATTTAGATAGAGAATGAGAGCACACACACCAGTCACTAGTTCCAAAGTATTTCAGACTACACACATGCATATTTCAATTAACTGTTCTGTATCAGGTAAGCAAATGATTTGGAGGGAATCATTTGTTGTGTGGAGATTGCAACTTCCATTTTCTTTATGTCATCATTAAATTAATAATCTTTAATAGCTGTTCTGATGGAACAGCTGATCTGTTATTCAATGACTAATCGGGACCAAGAGATTAGTAAATAACATGCAATTCAGAAGCCTAATTTTCCTCTCTCGCTCCAAATCCTCAGCAATATTTGATTTATACATAGGCTACTGGCCTACGTACTCTTCATGCTGAGGAACTGAGAGATACTCTCTTCTGAGAGAAGGCTAGTGGCTTATGCAAAGAAAACAAGTGACTTTGAAGTGTTCTGTCCAAACTACTGGTACAGAAATAAATAGCTGAGTGGTTTATCTTTGTAGATAAAATATCCAAATAGAAGTCTGTGACATTTAACCATTTAGCTTTGTATCCACTGTGAATATCACTCTCTTGTTCCTGTTTTACGTTAGTGGAATAATAGATCAGTTGTGGGCCCCCTATCTGGCTTCTGTAAATACCAAGACATATAAAAGTGATTTTCATTTTGAATGTATGACAGTGTAGCTTTCTCATCTTCTTTCAGTACCAGACCTAAGGGTTGGGTGATTTTAACTCCTATGAAACAAAGGAAAAGAAATAAACAGAGTAAAACAAACAAGCTACATTCTCCAAGTAGAAAAACAGAGAAAATGACTTAGCTCATGCCTTACTTGCACCCAGAAATAACATGGCCACACACCAGGCTGTTCACATCCCCATTTCTGTTTCAACAACCATTAAGCAAACCTCTACAGAGAATTTCTGTGAGTCAGTTTCTKTGCATGTTTCTTTAAAACCAAAAGCACAGACCTCTGCAACAGTTAAATCTAGACTGAAAACCCAGCTTCTTCCTGTACGAAGTTTTAAAAAAAAAAACAAAAAAAMMCCCTTTGTTTGAAGTGTAGCCATTCAAAATCTACAGAAAGTTTCAAATTGATCGACTGGAAATGTTCTCTGTTTTCATGAAATGTTCTGTGGGTTTTTTTGTTTGTTTGTTATACTTTAACCTCATATAATTTATTTTACTTTTTGATTTTTTTTTTAACAGAATCAAACAGAACCTGTAATTACAAGGCTCACAGAACAGGATGGGTTTTCTTGGCATAAACACGACAAGTAAATAACTACTTTGTGGTCAAAAGTAAGCCATATCATGCTCACATCTTAATTATTTTTCTGCCTTCTCTACCTGTCAGATATAGAAACAATAGCACCCAGCATCTTGTTTTAGGGACAGTTTTGTATGGGAATTTTTGTTGCCTGAGCACCGAGCAGCCACCGAAGCAGAAGAAAGCTTGGATTATCCCTGCAGCAAACACCTAACGTCTCCTTTCCCCTTAGTGTCCTAGCAGTATCTGTACTGATTATAAGCCAGTGACCCCCTTATCTCTGGCACAATCTCACCCTGTGTTAAGAACATTGACTGCTGTTCCACCATGGGATTTTTAGATGCACAGTGGGAACAATCATAGTAGCCACAATTGCCACCTATAGCTGTGAAAAGAGACCCCAGCAACTAATGCCAAATTCAAGAAACCTAATATATGTGATGCTGAAACTATTTTTTYTTATTTACGTGAGGAAGGAACACCATCTGGTGGAATGAGTGGATGCTTGCATTGATCCTTATGGGCTATATTTTTCTCACTTCTCTATAAAAGAAATGGTATTGGCTGAGCTGCCTGAAWAGAGGGCTGGAGCTACTGCATAAAAGATATGAATGTCTGTCATTAAACTGGTGACTGTTAAAAAACGTGCTGAAAATGTTGTGTCAGAAATACAAAATATTTTAACTCTGTAGGAGATAAAGAGAAAAACTAAGAGAACAATCTCAGAGCTTATGTTAAGAATATCATTCACAATTAAAAAATGCAGCTAAGAGAGGAGGACAATATGTGAAATAGCTGATAGGAAATGTTAGTGAGGCAAGTATGACTTAAAACCTGTCCTAAAATATAATTACTTGAGCTGGAAGGAGAAACCTTATTTTATATAGAACACAAAATTATAGATTTTACTCTGGATTTATGTAGGATTTAGGGGTGAGTGGAGGGTTGAGGGGTGGTTTACAGTAATACAGTAGTTAGAACATTCAAGGACAGTATCTAGGTTCGATCCTTCTACCCTTCTTGCTTCAAGCCAGGGTGCAAACTCAGGTGATTCAGCTCTCTAGAGTGTACTGTTCATAAGGTATTCGCATGTGGTTAATATAGGAAGTTTTTTTTACTGTATAATAAATACAAATTTACAGCCTGTATCTTTTGCATGGGACAGATTTAAAATAGAAAAAAAAAAATCAAGGGAAGAATCCAATCAACGGTACTCTTTTACACACCAGCAGTTAAATCAATGTCACATTGCTCCAACGCAAGCAAAGGGATGAATCAAATCTAGGCAGCTACTTCCCACATGAACATTTTACTTCTTGGACTATTGAATGTAAATGTGGAGAGCTGGAAGGAGAGACCTCATCAGCTACTCCTGGTAGTGAGTTTGTGGGAGACAGGAGAAACTGCACTGGTAAATGCCTACATTGCAAATGCAGCTAAGGCTTAGAGACAGAGCTGCTAATAACTTTAAAGACCTATACTGTTTTCAGCATGGACGTGTCAGAAATTTAGATGTCAGAATGTTCTTACCAGTAAAGACATGAAAGTACAAACTTCTAAGCATCTTAATAACTGCTCAAATTTGCCTTGTGTGTCTAAAAAGTCAGTTAAGCACGTACATCTTTTATGTGAATTTCACTTCTGTGAATCTCCTTAGGAAGCTATGACTCTTTCTAGTTTTCCTTTTCCTGACATTAATTGGATTGGAAATATAGAAAGAGGATGTCAGATGGAGAAAAACATGTTGATGCTGCAGCAAAAGCAGCATTAGATTCTTGGAAGTATATTGAGCTGAAGAGGCCTAGTTGTGAAGATAAAAATATTCCAGGAAACAAAATCTCTTCCCATAGCTATGAATTTTAACATGGCCTATGATCAGAATAGTGATGTTGGGTTTACTTTCTTCTTAGTAGGAATGACTGCCTGGGCTATGGTCTTCACAGATCTAGTATCCAGGAACATACTAAAGTTAAGTCTGAGAGCATATAAAGCAATAAAGTTTTGAGAATTTGCAGCACTACTGTCAGTGGATCCTCATCACTAAACACTTCTAGACCATAAACCGTAGCTGAAACGAGCTGATTCAGAGATCGCATGCCCTCTGTACCTGGGATAAATATGAATAGCCTGTTCATATTTTGGACAGGTATTGCACAGGTCCTGTATTGGACAGTCTTCTCTCAATGCACAAATCTCTAAATCACACAATTTTCAAGTAATATCATTTGCAAGTAATTCAAGTAATATAATTTTCAAGTAATAGCATTATTCTGATTTGAGAATTCTTGTGGGAATCTTTGAAATTTCAAAATGAGAAATATATACCATATATTTCCATATACTGTACCATATATACAATCATAGTCCTTTAGTTCTTTTCAAGGGGAAAGAAAAAAAAAAGAAAAGATTAAGAGCAGAATGCTAGGCTGTTTTTCTTTTAGATTCACCAGAATTATTTTTAAAAGAATTGCTGTCATATTTGCAACCTTTCCTAGGTATCAAGGTCAATTTAAATGAGAGATTACACACTGCAGTTTGTAAGTCAGCTATTTTAGTCTTGTGTCTTGTGTCTTTTATTTGAATAAGATGTGAAACTGCCAATTTAGTAACATTTTCTTTGTCAATTTGTTCCATAACCTCTTTTCCAGTCAATTCAATTTCAGACAAATCCTCTGATGAGAATCAGTTTCACAAAGAAGGATTTCAGTATGGGTTTCAGCACAGATTTCATCTGTCCCATTGTGAACACAGATGTAGACAAATAATTCGACTCTGCAGCAGCCTCTTAACACTCTTTCCATATCCAAGTCATCAACTGGTTCTAATGAATCAGTTTTTGCTCCTGATGCACATCAAGAAGCATGCTAGTTTTAACCTTTTGCTAAAAGTTGTCTGTTCTTCTGAACATATTTTTTATTTTATCTGCCAGACTTCACACTTTCTGCTGTCTACTGCATGTGAACAGGATATGACCTCTTATTCTGCTCACCAGCCCTGTGAGCATTTGATTTTACCCTTACTGAGACACGCTGGGTTTGTGTGCATGTGTGGCTTGTTTTTTTTTCTGAGTTGGTGTCTTTTAGCAACCTCTCTCTACTGCCTGTAAGGACCTGATTTTCCCAGCCACTTCTTTTCAACAAGCCTCTTCAGTTTTCTGTTGTTTTAACTGATGAAGCTGAGCACAACTGTGATGAATATTTTCCTTTGTTTTACTCCCACCAGAATGTTGAATCTAAGGAGACACTGGTTACAGTTACCAAATAGCTTTTTACTGACATAATTTCAGTTCCATTATTCAGGGATGAGTCAAAAGTTTCCATTCAGGAGTCCCCTAATCATTTATAGTACCTCTGATTCAGATTCAAAAGTGGTATTTGATTCGATATAACAGACTCATGGAAGCTGCAGCACTGCGCAAACTATTACCATCATGGTTAAGCAATTGGCATGTAAATCTACTAACTTCTTCCCATTCTATCCTTGATTTTAATTCCATGCTAACTCTATTATACACTGAGAAGGTTAGTGTCTTCTTTTCTTTTCTTTTTTTTTTTTTAATTTTTATTTGAACTACTTCTAAATTCTTAATAGAGATAGCATTGTTTCATCAACAATGCAGTTCATCTCTGCTGAATAACTGGTTTATATTCTATCCTTTTAAGTCTATTTTTCTTTCTTCGAACTTCTGATCCTTATGCCCTTAAGGATCTTATGCCAAGGGTTTTTCTTAGGACTAAATATTTTCCTCAACTTATTTTTTAAACTATAAAAGTAGAGCCTTTGCCTTGTTCCTTTCTCAGAAACCTATTTCAATATTTTCTTTTCCATTTCCTATCTGGTTAATTCCACCATCTGATCTAATCTCTCGAGGTTAAATAATTTCCACGGCTTCACCCTTAACAGATATCTCCTCTCAAACAATCTTTCAAACTTCACCACTTGCATCTCAATCTCATTAATGGACATGTTTATAGCTGTTAGCTTGTGTTCGGCATGAGGGAATCCTTCCCCCAAAAGGTACTGATGTGGTACAGGCTCTCTCACAGTCTTCTGTACTGTTTCCCAACAGTGAAACATTGGATGGGAGGAGAAGAAGTTGAGATGTTGATTCTGTTTGCATTTTGTGTATTTTTCTTTTTAAATAGGATCATTTGCAGTTATCTTGCAGACCTCGGCACTCTAGATCAGATCTCTTCCACTTTGAAAAGACTCTGTCTTTTCCACACACCCAGAGGGTACTACGTGGCCACCGTTGTACATTCCAGAAAGTGTTCATTATTTCTAGCTGTGAATAAAACATGAGAAAGGCCAGTGGAACTTACTGGGAAATTTAMCATGGCAAGAGCAGTATCAGAGACAAGAAGGGCATATGTAAGGTTCTGGCAGGGGTGTCACCTGGATGCCTGACAAGGACAGATACACAAACACAAGGCACACTATAGCCGATACTGAGCATTTATCACCTTTGTATCTGAGCAGGGTTTCCTTATTATTTCCTAAATGAGGTAATGAAGAAATGTGAGAGAGCACTGGAAGCAGCGTACTAAATGAGATTTTTATATACTGCACAAATGCGCAGTAAGCACACTGCACATTGTGGATCTCCATGCAAAATCCAGGTATAGTGCGACCCTGGCACAGGTCCAGCCATGTGACTGTGGGTCCCACAGTCCCCCTGAATAGTCAACACTGCTGCTGCTTTTCCCACAGAAAAGTCTGGCTGGCTTCCATTACCTATCTCCTCAACTTTCTTCTGCATGTTTCCATACAGTATTTGAGGGCAAAACAGTCACAGACTGTTTAGTAACAATATTACACGGTGTTAAACCCAGATCTTTACCAAAAGAATTTGCAATGATTTACACAAAAGCAAGTAGAATGGGGCAGCAGTCTACTTACCTTTTGAGAGCTTGGCACTTTCTGCCTGATTAGTCCAGCAAAGCAGCACTGTAAGAAATATCAAATTACTATCTTTTGTGGACAACAACTACCAAATTTATGACTCCTGGCATGGGAAAATCTTAAACTGGTGAGGGCATTGAACAATTCCCACAAAGCAGGCTCACTGCCTGAGTTTGGACTCTGGGTGCTCTATGTTCTCCAAACTGAAAAGTTGTGAGCTAAAAAGACGAGAAAACAAAGTCCTAGGTTTTTTACACAAGGAAGGTCTCTTAAGTATGGGGCTGAAACAAGCCTTGCTGCAAAAAGAAGGTGGCAAATTTCTGTCTGTGGTGGGAATATAAATGTACAGAAACTTGACAGCAAGATGAATCTATGCTGTGGAGAATAAAAACACTATTGGACTAATGGCAAGGATTTCAGGCTTGGCCTCAACCTATAGCATTACATCTAGGCATAAGGATTAAATATCTCCTATTTAAATTAACTATCTATTGTACACTGTTTTGTTGCAAAAGTTTTTACTCCCATAAACCTTTGAAATCAGAAGCACCAACAGCAAGCTTGCAAATATCACAACAACCCTTAAAAGATATATCTGCTCTACAGACTGAGACACACAGAATCTCAAACCATGAAGTCTTGTGAATAAAGAACTATCTAATGTTTTCATACTTTCCTCAAACAAAAGATGCTGCTTTTGGACACATGATGCAACTGTAAAAAGACATTTTGAATGGACAGTTAAAGCATTTCAGACATCTCTAGGGATTTTAGCAATAACCCAATCTAGGACACAGAATCTTGCTGCTGGCAGCGGTATCTTGAATTCTATATTTTATTTTACCTCAGACTCTCCTCACAAAGATGTTTCTTTCAGGCTATAAAAGCCAAGAAAAACATTTTGTGCAGAGGAGCTAATGGCACAAGAGTGGTTCCTACTGACAGGAGAAAAGAAGTGCAGCCTCCTAAGCCTGAAATAGTTGTCCTCATGTGTCAGCTGGGATACTATACAGAGAGGGTGCTAACTAATCGTGATTGTATTTTAATAAAGGAATGTAATTTTATATATATAATTTTTATTATGTGTGGGTGTGGTACATATATTCGTATAAACATATATGTATGCACATACAAATAAGATGCACATTATTTTAATGTAAAGGCAAAAGATAAATTTATACATAATGTAATTGTACATTTTTCTATCACTTTGTATCTTATAAAGTAAAATTATATTCCAGGAATAATGCCAAATAATCAAATTCTAAATCACTTCTATCACTGCCTGGCTCTTGCTCTCTTTAAGGCTCCATTAGAGCTCAAGTATGTTTGGTCTCTTTGTCTTTCACTTTCTATCACTGAATGTTCTCAAAAGATTTTGTTTTTGTTGTCTCTACATTACAGACACTATCATATAATTTTAATCTATTTTACAACATAGTTGCTTTGTTTTATATGCAGTAGTGGCCTATTCACCATCCATCTTGGATGCAAATCTATTGATTTAAATATTGATCTTTCAGTAAATATTCAGGTACATGAAAAGTGATGAAAAAAATGAAAAGAATTCTGACCTGTGGCTACCTGGCATGAAACCTAAACCTGGCAGGCACTGCCATAGCTAGAAATGGAGATTAACAGGCAGACAAGGTAGCCTGTGCTGATCAGGCATCCTTTGGTCAGTAAGGTGATTCCAGCAGTCTCTCCCATTTACTCATATGGATGGTTTTCACACCTGGACTATGGGATTCATCTCCCTCACTTGACAGTCCTGGAGGAGCCAGATCAGGCTGCTCCATTTTTCTAATTCGGTTACTGAGGTTCCACTGCCTGCAATTGTTCCTCCATGCTGCCTTGTGTTTGTGCAGAGAAGCCTTTATATAGATATTGTTAAGTTATGCAATAATATTTAAAATTAAAATACAGTACTAAAATACACTCAAGTCCTTTGTCGCCCACCCCATAGTCAAGAGATGTGAGGCAAGGAAGGCGTAAGTATCTGCACCTGGAGGTGGCTGGAAATGAAGATCACTCCCTCTAGTGGCACCTGTAAGTCCAGTCCCTCCGCCTGTAAGTTCTAACATGAAACTCCAATTTAAATTACACGCATGATAATATTCCTACAGCTCAGAGCAACTCAGACATATGTGCATATGTGTATACACATTTCCATATGCTCCATTTATGAAACATCAGATATTCTTTCTTGTCCTTAGTCACGGTGTCTATGTAATTGTCAGTTTCCTGGTCTGTCTTCTGTCAGGTGAGTTAAAAGGCTGAACAGTAATGATAAAACTCATCAAGCAATACATTTGACACTTCACAGAAGTTTGTTCTTTCCCACTTTCTCAGCTGGTCTGATGAACTACATGACCTCTTCCTACATATCTTTATTTGTCTTCTTTCAAACACAGATACAATATGAGAGAAACTACAGGCCTCCTCTATTTTGGGAAATCAAKATCACAAGAAACCATGTTCTCCTAACCCCTCATTTAGGGTCATTCATACCTCAGTGGTGCAATATAGGTGCAATATAATGGTGTGGTAGGAGCCATTAACTTCCTGTCCTGCAGGACTAATGGGTGATTGAACAGATGATCTTAATTTTCATTGTATTATGTGTCCTCTTAAAACCACCAGCATCAAACTTATTGCAGATCTACTGCTCCTTTGATTCGATTTATTATGTCAGACTGTACAAGCTTTAGAAAAGAGCCATTGGAAGAAGGGGAAGTCTTATGAACTTGAATAATAAAAAGCATAGGCATAATCACTGATCCAGCATATATACCGACATGTCCTTCACCTAACAAGCAATACCTGATTTTCAAAAAAAAAAAAAAAAAAAAAATTATGTTTGCTTCTGCTAAAGTTTCATAACAGAGAGTTCCATCATTTCAGTGGAAGCAAAAGCAATGTATTTGCTAAATCTCATACAGAACAATACAAGAAAAATGCTTTAAATAGCACAGCTGCAAATAAAACCGGTGTGGCTTCCATGCACTGCTGAGTAGAGGAGACTGTTCATTTATTATTCAGCAACTTACTGCCATATTAAGAAAGCCAGAAAAGTCAGCAAGACCTTGAAAACATTCTGAAACTGCAATTTTATCACCAGGTGATACATGTATTTAACAACAGAGGTTGCTTTCTCACAGCCATGTGGAATAGTTGAGATGATTGCCAGCCAGAATGACTGCCAGCCAGAACTCATTTTGTCCCCAATCCTGCCAAGAGGTCAAAAAGGATACTCCCTCCAACCAAAGTACTTCTTCTATCTCAGTTTCAACTATTATTTTTTAGACTGTTTGAATTATTAAAAAATAAAATGTTGCATAAGGGGTAAGCTGAATTAGAAGCCAGTTCTGCTAAGAGTTATATATTGAGGGGAAGGAGTGTAGGACTGAATCTGAGTGACATTAATATATTTTCCCTAATATGACAAGCAAAATTTGTTTACCAGGCTCCCTTTCACTGTACAACAACATACAAAAATTCTATTCCACAATGCTTGCTATACCTCAGTAAAATAGCTCATGCACTCAGAAACACTCACTGGAAGACACTTTTGTTGGACCAGAGGAGAAGGCAGCCAATGTCATCAACATCTGTTTCATGGTGATGTTTTGTTATTAATCATCAGTAAAAAACATTCAGAATAATTCAGAACTTCTTTGAAAATTTCTAGTGATTGTCTTTATGATCTGAATTAAAACTTGTGAGAAGACTTGCACAATCATAGAATCATTAAGGTTGCAAGGGATCTTTGGAGATTATCTAGTCCAACCCCTCCTGCACACACAGGGTCACCTAGAGCACGTGGCACAGGGCTGTGTCCAAGCGGGTTTTAAAGATCTCCAAAGATGGAGACTCCACAACCTCCCTGGGCAGCCTGTTCCAGGGCTCTGTCACCATCATTGTTAATAAATTTTTCCTTAAATTCCTGTGGAACTTTAGGTGCTTCAGTTTGTGGCCATTTCCTCTAGTCCTATCACTGGCCACCACTGAAAAGAGACTGGCCCCCTCCTCACTGCCTCCCTTGAAGTATTTACAGACACTGATCAGGTCCCCCCTCAGCCTTCTCTTCTCCAGGCTGAACAGGCCCAGCTCCCTCAGCCTTTGCTCATAGGGCAGATGTTCCAGGCCCCTGATCATCCTCGTAGCCCTGCGCTGGACTTTCTCCAGCAGCTCCACATCCCTCTTGTACTGCGGAGAAGAAGCTCTGTTGAAGAAGCTCTTCGTCTTTAACGTCCCTTGCTAGATTTAATTGAAAATACACCCTAACGTTCCTTGACACATCCCTGCATTTCCTGACGACATTCCTGTATTTCTCCCAAGGGGCCTGTCCTTTTTCCACATTCTGTATACTGCTTTCTTCTGCTTGAGTTTTGCCAGGAGCTCCCTGCTCATCCACGCACGTCTCCTGCCCCCTCTGCCTGACTTCTTACTCATAGGGATGATCCCGGGCATGGAGGAAGTGATGCCTGAAAACTAACCAGCTCTCCTGGGCCCCGCTTCCTTCTAGGGTCCTAGCCCATGGAATTCTTCCAAGGAGGTCCCTGAAGGGGCCAAAGTCAGCCCTTCTGAAGTCCATGGCTTCCAGACCACTTACAACCCCGCTTCCTCCTCATTGGATCCTGAATTCCACCAGCTCACGATCACTGCAGCCAAGGCTGCCCCCTACCTTCACATCTCCAACAAGTCCCCCTCTATTTGTTAGTACCAGGTCCAGTAGCCCACCTCTCCTTGCTGGCTCCTCCATGGCCTGTCACAAAAAATTATCATTAACGCACTGTCAAAACCTCCAGGACTGTTTGTGCCTCGCTGTGCTGTCTCTCCAGCTGATGTCAGGGAAGTTAAAGTCCCCCATGAGAACCAGGGCCTGTGAGACTTCCAGCTGCTTGTAGAAGGCCTCGTCAACCTCCTCCTCCTGCTCAGGTGCCTGTAGCAGACACCCACCCCAGTGTCTCCCACGTTGGCCTGCYCTTTAACCCTTACCCACAAGCTCTTCACCCRCTCATCATCCACTCCCAGACTGAGCT